AAAATGGGTTGAAGTGCACGATATCAAATCAATTTGGTGGAATTATTCGACTTTGCCGCCTTCTGGACATTAAGTGGCTGTGTGTCTGCAGAAGGGCAGACATAAATCAGGTGTGTCTGTGCGTGCCAATGTTGAGGCAACAGGAGGGCGGCCACAGCAAATTTCTCGGTGCGCGATAGAGGCGATCGCGATCACATAAATATTGTTGGCTGGGGAGATGACAAAGGAGCTATAAAATAGCATTTTTGCGAATTATCAATTACTACACTTTTTTGCGTTGTCCACGGGTGTCTGGGCGGCTGTGGAGGAGGTTTGAGAACATGGTAGCCAATTGTGTGCATCTTGATCTTCTTCTCTCCCTCGTGTTTTACACCATCTATTAGTGGGAATGGATTCCACTGGGGAGATAAATCACGGGATCGAGATGTTTGGGTGAGAGAGAGAGAGAGAGAGAGAGAAAAGTGCGCACTTGGGGAAGGATTTTCCGCCACAAACGGTATTGTTGCTCATCATTACGAATTGGGGCCACTATAAATCGTCAATTGAACACTCTCATGATCACAGCGCGATCACCTCTGGAGATGGTGTTCTGGGAAGGTTATAAAATTGAGGGGAGACACGATTGGAATGCACTTTGTGTCCAAATACGATCATGATGGAGATGGGCAGATTGGGTGAAAAATCACGATATCGCGCGCGTTGACGATCCCAATTCATGCCAGTGCACAGAAGAGTGGAAGATCAGCCCAGGGAGTGTGGGTAATCTTGTGGCATTTTATTTGTATCCAAACAATATTTATAAAGCACTCCACTATTATGATGATTGTTACTCAATCGATATTGCCAATTTGTAAGCGATACGTGACATTTTACCCATGCAAAGTACACCATCTTCGAGTGCTTTCTGCGATGGTGTGAAGGAAAATATATACACATCTTTTTCCATCTCTTCGACGAGAGAGAGAGAATTTCGTGTGTGTTTGCGCGATGTGTGAAGTGGCAAATCAGAAAGTCATAAGAAAATGGTGTAATGCAATCAAGAAGCAATAAATACAATTGGGTGAATTTCTTTTCGGCATGTTGCCTCGCCAAGACAATGTCCATAAATATTGGCGATTGCACAATGTCTTGAGGGAGGCAAAGTATCACTCTTTCAATCCATTTTCGTCGCTGTCGTGGCTTTTAGGGATATGTCTCGTGTCGCTGTTGTCATTTTATGCTTCACTTTTATTAAAAATCAAAAGTTTATTCTACAGTCTGTCCCGCGTCTTCAGCCAATAATAATCTGCTGCTGTGCAATTTCACGTGCAGAACAAAGAACTCCCGCGCATTTCGTCTGAGATTAAGACGTTGCGTTTTGAAGTAGACTTTTTGGTTGTGCAGAAGATTAATAAAAAAAATGACTGAGCCTGAAAAAATCCATTTGTACTCATTAAGAGACGCCGGAATTAATCCTTGGGTGAATCGAGAGATTAATGTATCGTCTGAATGGCGTGTGCACAACATTTTGGGTGGCAAAAATTGATTGTGAGATCCATTTTGGTGCATGACATCAAGGCAGACGATCGTTTGTGAATCCGCCACGGACCTTCTCATCGTTAAAGCCTATATGAACACGGAAAAAATATGCTTAACATGAAATTAGTGAATTAATAATTAATGCTCCGCTGTGGATATGAGTCAGAAATTTGAATTTTAGGAGGTTAAACCTTGAACAAGATGAAATTTAAATGTTGTGCAAATGTCGCGATCGGCTTATTTTTGGCTCATTAACTTGACAGAGAGAGGAAAATAGCGTCGGGATAAATTCATTTCTATATTTAGAAGCATTAGCATCACAGCTCTGCTATCAGCCAATTGATCTGTTGGCTTCTTGAAGATGGAAATGGTCACTTTTCGTGCAGTTTGCAGTGCTGCTGCTAATCTGGTGAAAAATACTGGCGAGACAGTGTAATGAAAATAAATATCTTGAATTAATCCTTCCATCAATTTGACTATTTTGCCTCTTTGAGTGCCACTGGTGAAGCAGGAAGATTTTGAGGTCTTAAGCAAATTCTCCGGCTGTACCTGACGCCTCTTCTCTCTGTGTTTCACGCTTGCTATTTATCTAAGGTGTGGGACAAAAAGACTGAATAAATTTATATCGAATGTTGGCTGAGATGCCATCATAATTTTCTGCAAGACATGTCTTAAATTGCATCTCTTTCTCCTCTTCTATTTGCTCACCAAACAATGTATGGACAATTCTTCACGATAAACGCCAGATTGGAAAGTGTCTGGGTAAAATGTGTATATTTGCTTAATATTCTCATTATCCTTTTACTTTGATGAATTTTTCATGCGTTTCGCTGACTTTGGCGAATGGGACGCAGAATCCAAATTGTGGGCACTAAAAGATGCTAAATCACTCTTTCCTTGCTGGCCAATGTTGATTTAATCCATGTGTCCGTTGAGTAAAACAAACAATAAAATATGAATAACAAATTGATATATGCAAATGTGCAGATCAAACGTCTCGATCATCGAAAGACAATTGTGTGCAGCATATTTGCATAAATTGCATTGACATGGAGGAGAGTGACTAATATGAAAAGTCCAGTTGGATTTTCCCTTGCGACATTGCGCATTTTGCCAAGGCATCTGGCGGACTTTTTCTCGCCGTTTCACTTTCATTTGAAAGAAAAAGTGAAAGATTTGCACTGCACTTTGTCTGCATTCAGGCGCTTTTCTTCAACATCGCAAGATTGCAAGACTGTTTGAATGGTAATCGCGTGAAATATCACCGACAGCGGCCCGTAAATTACTCTGCAGACACTCTCAATCGAATTTTCCAAGGTTTTCACCACTAATGCTGCGCGATATTCATCAAATGTGAGGTCACACGAGTCTCCAGCGTGCACCCATTTTCCATGCCACATCGCGATTGCTCGGCATTTTTACAAATTCCTTTCTATGGTCATTGGATTAATTGTATCAATAAGTGTGTACATAGAAATTACATTTTAAACATACCCTTCCTCTACTGTCCATTAATTTTGATCTTTTTACGGTGGAGTTTTCGAATTTTTTGCCGTTTTGTTTCTCTTCTGGTCAAGCAGATAGATTTCTATTGTTGCAGAGTGTGAAAAAAATGAAAGTGCAAATGAAATATGTTGTGGAATAATAGAGGAAGTGTTAGTTTTGTGACTTTGGGCACTAATTGTCCGCAGGAGAGAAAATCATTGATGGCTTTGGTCACATTTGATTTATTTTGTGGCCTTTTTTTGGCCACAAAACCATCTTCAAGATCGTGACATTTTGGGTCTTCCTTGTGTCCGAAATTGGTGGCAATCTATGCAAATATTTGCTCCTCTTGATTGATCTTCTAAATGGTGAGGGCGGTTGTTAATTTAATTTTGAGAATCTTCCCAGTGTGTCTTGGTTGTTTTGTCGCAAGAAACGCGTCTTGTCAGCGCTCGTGAGCATATTTCTCACGTTGATCTTGTCTATCGGAAGCCTTTTTTCTCATGGCACAGAAAGCCCTCCCATAGGAAATATGCTCGCAGACTCTCATGACATCTTACGAAATCCCCCCCCCCATTTGGCGCGCTTTACCAACACAATTCTTGTTATACTTTTTCCTCGGCGCTTTTCTGGGTGAATGGATTTGACCACGTGTGTCTTTTGCGTTGAAAGTGATAAATTTCAATCTAATTTCGCTGTGGTATTGAATGGTTTTGCCACAAGCCAAAACATTATGAGCTCTCTTGCACTCCGCGCGCATGTCTCTCTAATGTTGACTTGTGAGCTCTGACCAGGCAAAATGGAATTAAATGCCTGTCAACGGTGGCCGCACAAAGGAGTCTTTACCTGAGCATTCAAAGGCCCTAATTGAGGAGGGGAATTTAGTGTGCTGAATTTTCACGTGGCCGCCGCATTGCGAAAATCCCTCCTGAAATATGACAAACAACATCATATGCAGAAGGCGAGATTACTTGAGGGCGACAGACTCTCTGGCATTCCGGCGCTCGTGAGGCAATTAAAGTGACTCCACAAGGGGGAGGAGATTGCATGGGGAAGATCTCCCAGTGCTTGAGCTCTTATCGGCCACAGACAATCACCCAGTCGTGATGTCATTGTGCCAATCTTTTCATTGACTCTCTCGCATCACTTTGTCGATTTGTGTGTCTCGTCAAGTGCGGAGCTGCCTATTGAATATCATCAGCTAGGCATTCATTGTCTCACCGTGATGCACTGCGAAGGCGAACAATTTACCCGCGATGGCTCAAGTGCAAGAGGAGTCACTCAGGTTTAGACAAATCCAACTTGCAGCTACAAAATACTCCACGCACGGAGCTTAATTGTTCATTTGCGATGGAATGAATGACGGAAATTTGAATAGATATTGCTGGTCTGATTGCTGGGGCATCATATATATGCATATATTGTGATAGGGGAGAGTGAGGCATCTTTTAAGCTCCAACAGTGTTGGATGGCAAAATTATGGGATCTGCTTAAGATGGTAAATTTCGCTGAAATCACACAATAAATGGCAGTGTTATGGCCAGTAAAATTGCACATGCATAAAATTCATCGCAGTTTAATGACAATGATGACACCTTGCGCTATTGCAAGTCGCGCGCGGCTCACAAAAGACGTTTACAAAAGATGGGCAATGGCAAAAGCTGTGCTTTTTTGCCTCTCATTTGATTATATTCAAATTAAATGCCACAACAAGAGCTCTCCGTGGCGGTGTAAAAAAAGCAACGGGGGCAAAATTGGCTGTTGAGAAGCGGACAAATGGAATACCAGGGGTTGGAAGGAAAAGTTGAATGATGACACGCGGTCGGATGAGGCAAATAGACGCGATCTTGTGCCTTGTCTCTGGGAGATCTCTTGCTCCCTCTCTCTCTCTAGGCGGCTGAGGATTAAATGGGCAACAAATGAAACAATTCCCTTTATAAATTGTTTCAGAATTTGTTCATAGCCGCAATATCATTTGACATACATTGCCAACAATAATGTTGACTCGCTGGGGCGAATGGGAAGAGAACAGCGGCCGCGGGACGGAATGGCATCCAAAGTCAAATGACGATGATTCTGAGGAAGGGACCTCGACATCTGGTGAGGTGCACAAGGCAAAAGGGGAAGAGACATCGTCATAGGCTATGAATATATTTTAAATTGAAAGATTGAAATTATGGGTTAATTGGAACGCGAGCGATGGATCTTCGGGGTCGATCTGACATTTTGCATTTGATTCTTGGTATTTTCAATATTTATTCTGTTAGTCTTTTCGCGTCTTTGTCCCCCTTGCCATCGGTTTCGTTTGCCAATCAAAGCTCATAGCGAATGGATGAGGTTTTTCTCTTCCTCTGCGCGCGCGCGAAGCAAGCGAAAAAAAACGCAAGAATATCGAAGGAGAAGCTGAAAGAAAACTTTATATTATGCTTCGTCTTCTGGGGATACCTTTTAATCGCGAACAATGGCATCTGCGAGTGATGACAATTTGGAAAAATGTGAGAGGAATGGCGTGGAAAAAAGAGGCGAAATCGCGTTTTCCGTTTTGCTTTGGCCAAAAAATCAATTTTCAATTTTGTCCACTTCATTCAGCGAGGAAGAAACACAAGTGAGAGAGAGAGAAACACTTCCTGGACGGTTTGGAGCACAATTTTCCGAGGCTATTGTATAACGAAAGAGCAGAAAATCTACGTGGAATCATTATTTTTAGAGTGTTTGGGATGGAAAGTGACCGGAGAATTCTTATTATTGCCATTATGGCTCACCATCTTTTGCCTCCAAAATAAGATCTCTCAATATTATATCCAGCGCAAGTCCAATTTCTCAATTGCGACACACGATGCGAAATCACCTTTTCTCGCCCAGGTGAAAGTCTTTTGTTAGGTCGAACTATATTTGCTCATTTCTGGACGCTTATTTTACCTGCACTTTTCCATCAGATTGGATGGATAATGACTCAAAAATTTCCCTCCCCATTTCACTCGTGCTCAATTTCTTCGGCATTCCACCCATTTTACAATTGTTTCTCGAATTTTATGATCGTGGTTTTGCATGTGGTAATTGTCACAATTCCATGCCCACAATCCAATCGTTAAATCTCCCATTGGCGATATTTGAGAATTAACTCTGGCAATTTCACTTAAACTACATTTTCAGACTTTCATGGCACTTTTTATGCTGCGCACAGACTTTTATGTTCAATAGATAGCGGAGTGTGTGTGCATAAAAGTTTTATACTGAGTAGCAGAAATTAAATTGCATATTTGGCACACAATTAAGGCCTTCGCTTTCCTGCCACTCGTCTGCATATCAATTTCCCATGAAACTTTGCAGTCTCTTCCGCTTTCAGGAAGTTGTATTTTACTCCGGTAATCTGTAAGTGTGAAGTATCCGCCACTCGATTTAATCCCAGGTGCTTGATAACAACCTTTGAGCACCTTTATAAATATCACATACTTTATCAGACATCGCGGATCACTTTCGGCGCTTCTTGAAGCTTCCTAATTTGTATTGGCGCTTGTCGTAGGTCAGTTTTGCGGCGCGTTCGCAGCTATATATTCACGAAATGCCTTAATCTTGAGGAGAAATTGGCTCTTATTGTCTTGTTTTGCAAATCGCCGCCTTCATAGCCAAAATACCGCCTTCAATAAATGTGTCAAAAGTGATGGATTGAGAGCCAATTGAGATATTCTTTCTGACGACAATTGATGACAAGAATCTGAATATGATAAGACTTTTTTCCTATAAAAGCTACCAATTCACGAGAGGATTTCAGTTAGTCTTTAGACGTTGGCGAAATTCTTCTCAAAATGTCCAGTGCTTGGATTAAGATTTTCCTCCTGTTGGGAGTGAGTTTTGGTGCAGTTTGTGGTGAAGTTGAAGTTCGAAATGTCACCCAATTGCTGGACCATTTTGATCCCAACAACACAGCGACTTGGGAGAACAGATACTGGGTGGAGGAGAGCTTCTATCAGCCCGGAGGACCGATCTTCATCTATGTCGGGGATGTTTTCGACTTTATGGCGGAAATCTGGCTGAACATCAGCCACTTTAGGGATCTCGCTGAGGAGAACAACGCCTATTTGGTGGCTACAGAGTACAGATTCTACGGTGAAAGTCACCCAACGCCCGACGTCAGTCTCGAGAGTCTTCAATATCTCACCACAGATCAGGCGATGGGTGACATTATGGGATTGCTTGACTTCCTGCGGGAGTCCAATGAGGATCTGGCCGATGCCAAGGTGATTGCGGCTGGCGTGGGTCAAGGAGCAGCGCTGGCAGTGTGGCTCCGTCAGGAGAGGCCGGATGTGATCGATGGCGTTTGGTCCTCCAGTGGCTGGCTGAGCGCTGTGCCAGATTTCAAGGAGTTCGGAACGAATGTGGCAGTTTCTGTGCGAATCTACGGCGGCCTGCTTTGCTACAACAACATGGCGGCGGCGTTTGAAGAAATGGAGAATCACTTCGTGAATGGAAACTACGAAGTTCTCAGAGATAGTTTACTGCTTTGCGACACTGAACATGGCATTGAGGCTGACTTTGCTGGAGATCTTCTCTTCGGACAAATGGTTGGAGCTATAGGATCGACTATTCAGATTTTACAGTGAGTTTTTTAAGCGTGGATTCAGAAATTCGATCGAGAACTCAATTATTATTGCTTTTGTAGCTCTGCGGCCTTGACTAATCTCTGCAATGACTTGTCAAACGCCACGACTCCTTTCGAGGGCCTCTCAAATTGGGTGATCAATCGCGTTAATCCGGTTCTGGGATGTCTCCCGATCGACTACACACAGTACTTGGAATTCATCAATGGCGATCAGTGGGATTCACCTGGCGTGGTCTTCGGCACACGTCAGCTCTTGTATCAAGCCTGCACTGTTTACGGTGGATACAGAACATCCAGTGGAGAAGATCATCCGTTCGGTGATCGCTTCCCAATTGACTTCTTCTTCAGACAATGCATGGATATTCTCAACGGAACGTAAGTGAAAGTTTCACCCTTCGGTGTTTAGAAACTCTCTTAAGGCGGCACAATTAATTTTCAGGATGACTGAGGAGGAGATTGTGGCTGCCATTGAACACACAAACACTGTTCGAGGAGGTTTGACGCCCAATGTGACAAATGTCTACTTCACGAACGGAAACTTGGATCCCGAAAGGACACTTTCGGTGCAGGAAGATTTGAATGAAGACGCCGTGGCTGACAATATTTCATACTTTGGCTTCGCTGCCGATTGGGTTCCAATGAATTTCACCGTTTACGAAGGACTGCGAAGTGTGCAGAACCGCGTAAGGACTCTCATTACACAATGGCTCAGTGATGAGGATGGAGAAACTACGATAACGACAGATACGCCCACTCCATCCATTATTTTTGATTAGGCGATAGATTATTGTCATAAATTAGACGCGTGGAATAAACACTCGAGTGCCAATGATAATTCAGGCTTTGAAATTCGCAAGAAGATTCCCAGAATTTGGTGTAGGTCAGTTTCGCGGTGTCTTTTTCATCGGAAGTCTGATAAGATGAATGTAGAGCAGCGAAAGCATTAACAATTGGCGGTGTTTTGCTGATATTTGGCTGTCAAGTGCGACAAAACATCCGACTTATTATAATTCCATCAGCAATAAAGTTGTCTTGAGTGATTGATAGAAGCGTCAATTGACAACAAGAGCGTCTGATTAGAGATATGATATTCTGTACCATAAATGCCGGAAGATTTTGGAAACAATTGAATCTTCAAGATGTCTCGAGAGTGGGCCAAGATTTTCAAATTTCACAATTCTGAAAAATGCTTCTTATCACAACATCATTCGTCTCAATTAATCTGCCCGACGTCAGCATGACTTCCAGCTTTTCGTGGGCAAAATTTTAAATTGATAAGTACGATAAAATTTCCACCGAAAACCACTTAACATTCGAGTGTCTCGTAAGCGTAAAAATACACAATTTCTAATCTCAATCTCTATTTTTATCAGCGCGCCTCCAGTGGCGGAGATAAGGCGCTGAAGAGGGACTTGCAGATTGTGGGAAAGATGAGAAAAGTTCAGTATGTTAAGGGCGAAGAGATGTAAATTGGAATCCTCGGCGTGAATAGGCAAAAATGACCGTGGCTGCATTTCCTGTGGCAGGTTGATTTTTGCAGCGTGAGTGAAGATTGAAAAAGTGTCTGCACTTCTGCATGGAAGATGAATCTCCCCATCTCTTCGTGCCACTCAAAGTCCAATTACATTAAATCTGCGACTCATGGGCATTCATTTCGTCGTCCTTGATGGTGGCAACCGATCCGTGTGCGATGAGAATGTTATTTAAAATATAATATGAACTATCAGCAATTTATTTCTATACCCATTCAGCAATTGCCATTACGATCAAAATCTCCGCATGCAGTTGTCGTGATTTCTGTTCACCTCCACTTTCGCTCTCTGGACATCATCGCCCATTGTCCAGGGGAGAATTCAGTGTCGCGTGGGAGGATTTTTCATTGTTCTCGGGGGTGTATTTTCTGTCCCTGTGCGCTGATTGCAATAAATTAATAATGGGCAGTTGCAATTCATGTCCCCGCGAGGGCTGAACCGTCGCGAGAAACTCACCTTCAAGTAGCTCTGCTCGCACTTAACCCTCGAGCGGTGAATGCACACAGAGTGTGGCTTTCTTATGTCAGCTAATTTTGTCGGTTGACCTTCTCCGAAAAGAACAAGAAGGAGATAATGTAGCCAGAAGTGTTCAAAACCTTACAATCTTAACTAATCATCCCGATTTTTTGGATTTCTCTTGGATCCTACGAAGAAACAATCCTTTTCTAGGTTATGTAACGAATCACGAACATTCTGAACCTTTGATGCTAAAAAAACACTGCAAATTGTGTTGAAATCGAACATAACCTCATGTGGACGTGGAAAATGTGTATTTAGACCACCTTCTGCGCGATTTTGGCTCTAAACCATCAGTTTTAAGCTTAGTTGCAACTCATTCAGATGATTTTACCATCTAGAAAGCTTAAAATTGGTGGTCTTTTAAGATCTTTACGTGATATTTGTGAGGTTATGGTCATAAAAGACACCCAAAACAAATGGTTTTAGGTGTATTTTTTACAGAAATATCACGTAAAGCCTTAAGATATTTATTATAATTTGTGAATTATTGTGAAAACAGTCTAAACATTTGAAGTCCTGGAAGTGATGTACAGATTTCCAATGCTTAATGCGCACCGTGAAGGGTTAAACACAAGGCAAAAGCGGCTCAGCTCGCATGTCCTTCCCCCAGTTTTTCTCCAGCTCCTCATCCATGATATCTTGTCTAGATTCTGGAAGTCTCCCGCGTCGCGAGTGATTTTGACCGTCGACTCATAACTAATCAAATTTGCAGCAATTCCTGGTATTTTTCTCAAGCTCTTTTGGAGTGATTGTTGACTGCCCCCGCACGAATAGGAGACGCGATAGAGAGATTTAAATGAGGTGGAAACAAGGCAAAATCAACGCCAATTTATCCCGTATGAGACGGACATTGCTGGCTGATACTTTATTCTTGCAAAAACGCCCCCAATATTGATTTGTTGCCTCACGGCTAATGGACGATATGCGGCTCTGGGATGTGGAGTTTTTGTCTTCAGCCCAATGGCCATGCCCACGTGAACAGCGCCTAGACATGTCTCGCGAAAAGGGGCCAAGATGTCGAGGAATGTTGCGACACTGTTTGACTTATTGAGAGGAGATTTATCCCGGCTCAATTTTTCCCGCGAATTCCCTTCCTGATGTGGCCTTTGTTCACGTGGGGGTGCATGGTGAGGGATTGCTGTTTCAGCATGTTCACTCTCGGCATCCACTTATGCTATCATGGGTGGAGGTGAATTTATTTAAATGGAATTATACATTACAAGACTCTTAACTCCTGCGTTGCCATTCGCCTTCGCTCTGCGCGCGCTCTGTGGCTCTCCTTTTTTGCTCCTATTATGATATATAGAGTGTCAGCGGTTGTCTGGCAATATCAATGAGGCATTCTCAACTCTGAATCCCCACCTCAAATCGATTTAAGCCACATTAAATGCGAGGACGTGAGATAACAATTGATCTGCCGTGTGGAATTGTTATTGTTGGGTAAATGCAGTTGTCGGACTGCAAATGGTGAAACATCTTCGCTGGGCTGGAGAGATGATTGAAAATTTTTATTGTCTTCTCCTCCTCAGTCCATCTGTTAATTCAACAAATACCCATTGGACATCATGAGAGAGTGACGGAGCGGAAAAGTTATTGTTGTGCTGTATGAGCAAAAGGGCATCGCGAAGGCATTTCAATGTTTCAAATTCTGAGAGATGCATTCAGAGAGTGTTTTCTTTGGATTTATGTGATGTTTTCAATAAATTTGTGGGTGGCATTCTCGAAGGGAAGCGATTCATGTCCAGAAGTCTGGCTCATTTGAGTGATTTATTGGTCAGCGAGGGCGGATGAAAAGGGAACTGAGAAATGCGCGGTATAAAGTTGTTCCAAATTTGTTGGCAAAATATTTTGCATTCATATTTTTTTCGCGAAGAGACGCGCGATCGCGGTTGGTGGCAAAGATCAATTCGAACACGGAGAGATTGCTCAGTTGGTGGCTTGTTTATCTTATTTGTAAAGATGAGAAGAGAGAGAGGGATGAGATGGGTAATAATTTTGGCGAAAGACTGCCACTAAAGTATCTAAGAACATTTATTGCTGAGTAGGGAAGGTTGGGGTGATTTTGAACAGTGTGGATCACTTACAAAAATCAATAATTCCATTCCCAATCGATTCGTTCTCCATGCCAAAAAGTATCCCACTAAATATTTTGGACAATAAAGAAGAAGGCAAAACAGTGGATGGAATTAAATGTCATTAAAGTGTGGCGAGAAATATCGGTTGTCTTTTTTTCACCTCGACAAAGTGATGCCAATAAATTAGAGGCTCTCTTTGGAATATTAAAACTTGGCGAGGAGTTTGACTTTGGGGTATAAATCAATCAAGAACATACTTCTGAAAAGTTCAATGTCGTGCCCAATAAAGTGGAAAGAGATTTTTCTGACATCTCAGCGGATTTTCAAGCTAATATCTAAATTATATATTGTAAATTTATTAGCATAGCTGTCAAAAGAGTCGTTGGATTAGCGATTGGGCGTGAAAATTGCACTAACAATTGGAAAGTTTTCCTCTTTTATTTAGTATTATTATTAAAGCTTTTGCGCTGTGCAATTCAGAAGCCAACAAAATCGTGTGATATGCAAATTTATACAAACTCTCACTCTTGGAAGCTGCTGGGCTTCATCCAATCTTGTCAATGGCCAAAAGAATTGGTCTTCGCGAGGAGTCATTTATCTATTTCTGCTGCAATAAAAATTCTCCGCAGCCACTGCACATTGTGGCGAAACTGCGGGTGGCTTGGCGAGTATTAATTCCCTCTTAGCGATGGTGTGTCCAAAGGCAAAACATTTTAATTAATTCCTTGTCCTTCCCACATTTACAAGCCAATAAGTTCATCAATCATTTTCCCTCTATTGGGCAAATATTTGCTTTCATGCGCTGAAAAATAGGGTTGTCTTGGGTGGGGGGAAAAAAGCCACATAATAATGCCTCTATTTCTTGTTGTGTTTCTCGATGGCAAAATTACCAAGAATTCAATTACCAAAGGCGCCGTTATGTCGTCGATTGTGCAAAATCTTGGGCGATTGTTGATGAAAGGCTTTCTTTTACACGTGAAAAATTGCTGATTCTCTTTCTAATGCGAACTAATTGATGGCAATTAAAGACAGAGAGAAAAAAAGAACAATTTGTCTCATTCATAGTGTGATTCTTAATTTTATTGTCATTGGGATGAATGGCAAATTGTCCAAAAAAACCCAGATAAGCCGCCGAGAAAAACGGCTTTTTGACAATCTAGTCTAGGAAATTTGAGACAATTTCGAAAACACGATAAACTTGATTGTAATGCGATATCTTGGAATGTAAAGTAAAGCTTGTCAGGAAGATAATTTGTCTGTTGGAGTAATGAATCCAAATTGAAAGTGCCCAAAAGTGAGGCGGAATTGTTGGCGCGGATGAAAGTGAAAGAAAAATGGGATGGGAAAATTGCGATGATCGCACTTTAACCCACATTCTCGGCCGCACAGTGCGATGCAATTGACTTGCATGTGAAGGTGATGAACCGCAATTGCGGCGCAGAGCGGCTAAAGACAATCATTAAGGCTGTTTGGGGTTTATCGCTTTGACCGCTGATCTCGGAGTGTGCCATCGCGTGACGTCACACGGGCACTTTCTCCCCTCGTGACGTCACGCGGCGTCGCGAAAGCAACGCGAGCGCGGCTGCTGAGGAAACTCTCGCTGCGCGATCTCCTACCACTGCGTCTTGCCGTCAGTTTACTCGCGAAAGCTGTCGGGTGCGCACGTCTTGGCATCTCTCTTGGCGGAGTCCGTTGCTTAAGTCCATAGTATGTGCTGGATTGCTTGACCTGCTCGGGACACGGCCAGATTCACAGAGGACCCCAGAACCGCGGAGGGACACGTCTTGGCCCTTTCGTGAGGCGCTGTGGAGTTGCAAAACGGGGCGCACTTGAGAGTTTTTCGCGCGTTCTTCCCGATGGGCAAATCTGCCAGATAAGAGACCGCGAGGATTTGGATGTGTGCTTGTGTGGTGACGGCGCGGGAAAAAAGAGAAAATCCCAGTGGCTGAGAAGGAGGAAAAGTTTTGTGTTGAGCTCCACAGATTAAAAGAGCGTGCCTGGGGAGATAAAAAAAGGTTGCTGAATTAATTTGTGCCGTGTGTAATTAAAAATTAATATTTCATACATTAACTTTCAATGGGCAATTGTAAGAGAGACATAGAGGAGAAAAAAAGCCACAACAGAGAGATTATATTCACAGCTTTATACGGAAGTGAATTGAAAAATATATTCGTTTGTGATGGTGTCGCAAGTCATTTTCACTTTCTGCAATCATGCTAATATTGATAATGCGCCTCGCCAAGAGTTGAATTTCGAATTGATCTCCTTATTTTTTTCCCATACTTTGGCGCTTGTGTTTCGTGTCAAAACGAGTTAAACTCCAGTGGCAAATTATGAATTTCTCAATTCAGGCATTTGCATTTATTTCTCGGGGCTTTTGTCTACAGAAAATTTTGTCACCACCACTCTTTGGTGGAATTTTCCGTGTCTGTGCGACTTGAGCAATAACTTTGTGCCGAGGAGCAAAACGAAAGACTTCAATTTCAAGGCGACGAACCCGATTTTCCACTCGCCTTTCTACCGCGCCAATGATTAACTTTTCCTCTATCGCTCTCTTCCTCCGCACTGATAGCATTTATCACCCATTGAGCATCGGTGCAGAAGTGAAATTTTCTTGCCAATCCGAATAGGTTTTTCGCTGGCAGTGTGAGAGAACATCTCTTGGCGTTGCAACTGCAGCCAAAGTGAAACTCTTGAGTTTTGTCGTGCAAATGTGAGTGAGAGAGACTTGGAGCGAGAAAAGGCAGAAAACAAGTGTAGCTGAAGCGGATTTAATTGGGGGGATTTTGGGTGTCTCGATAGCCTTTGAATTGGATTTGGATAACAACACTTGTGCGAAAAATAGGTGAGTTCTTGGGGCTGATTCATGAGCAACACAACCTCTGGGCATATTTTCAATAAATTCCCCTCCTCAATCAATGCATCGGTGAAATCTCCGATGGGATTTTGATGATGAATTCCACGTGAATCGAATTGAAAATTGATCCTCGGCATGAGATTGAATGCGGTGGGAAAAATGGGATGAAAGGGAGTGACTTGATAATTATCGCGCGAGCAATATTTGACTTGCTGCCTCTTCTCATATCGAAAAATGTTGTGTATTCACCTGAAATTATCCCCTCGCGAGATGCGCGCTCTCAAATGCTATATTTCATAAGGTTGATCATCTCTTCGGCAATCTTCTTCGCTGGCATTTTCTCATCATCTGTGCGTCAAATTCGGTCTTGATGGAGAAAATGCGGTCAACTTTTTCTCCATCGCGCGCGCGCATATCGCCTAGTGAATGTTGGTCTAAGTGCAATTCACTGTGCACCATTAAAGCTCTCGATAATTTCATCATGAAGTGAGGCGATGAAGAGAAAAAAAAACTTGGGGCGGAAAAAATAGCCAAAACCTCTCTCTCGTTCGCTCGGCAGGTCGATAATTTCCGTTTTTGGCCCGCAAACGGTTTTAACAAAGGTGTGAAATGAAATGAATAAAATCTCACATGCTGGAATCCCAAATGTTGTGTCAATTAAAGAGAGTGAAAAATCACTTTTGCCTTTCGAAATTATTTTCATCTAGGGAAATAGAGGCCTCCCAATGTGATTATGTCACTTGGCGCGCATTAGGTTCGAAAAAAGCGACACTTTCAGCTCATTTAATCGAATTAATTTAAATGTAGCGCGGCGTTAAATTTATCTACGGAAAAGTGTTATATAAAAATGGTTAAACGGCCAGGGAAGAAATGGCGGAGGAAGTGGAAATTTGAATTGTTTTGCATAAAAGTGACTCGCCTGGTGTGTTTCCTAAAAAGAGATCACCTTGTTTATACAACATGCGCTGGCAGAAATCCTTGACTACGCACAACTCAATGGAATAATTGAGAATTTTTCCAATTCATCAACCACAACACACAATTATGCAATGGAATTTTTGACTATTCACGTGCAGTGGCATCGTAAAAGACACTGCGCGATTTTATAATCCCCCAATAATGCAGCACTCCTTCGAGTGTGATGGAAACCTTCATCATTTCCAATCATCAAAATCTTTCATGGTTTTTAAAAGAGAGACACGCTCTTCATAAAATCGTCACATCGCCTGATGCCTTAACGACATTTGGGTCCAATTTAAATTCACTCCGGCTTGTTCTTAAACGGTTAAAGCTCTGCCACGAAATGGGTCACTATAAATTCCATTTGAGTGGCATTTCGGAATGCCGAATTGACTGTGACAAATTACCATATAGAATTTGAATGAGGGGAATTAGATTCCTCCCCGAGTGAGCTTCTCTCTTCCCTATTCACTCAATTTCTGCAATCTTTTGGCCACAATGTCTTGACAGAGCGACTGAAAGTGTAAGTCGTTTTTTTTGCCGTGTTGCGATTCGAGAACGAAAGTAATCCGGTGGGTTTTGGGTATTTTTTGCCACGCTGCGGTGCAGGAAAAGTGCAGCTGTCTTGGCGTGGAGTTGCATTTCTTGGTGGCAAAGTGAAAGGGGTTTTCGCACACAATGATCTGGAATAGTCTGCAATTCACCTTGGAATCGTTTACAGACACGAATTTTTATATAACGACCTTCATGTCAATTTTTATTTTAATCTTGAGGATAAGGTTTACTTCATATTTCTCAGTGTGTGGTTGCGCGAGACGCCAGAAAAAGCTGCAATACTCTTGTTCCAGTTTTAAAACAAACGTGGGGCGAAACACAAGACCACATGAGATGAGAGTCAATTCTTGGACTCTCTTGGGTTATCTCAGCATTTTGCCAATTATCATGCGCGCGGTATTTGGAAACTTGAATTTTTACTCAATATCTGGTTCCTGCGTGAGCACACAGAGTAAATATTTCTTTACGAGTGTCGTTTTTTGCTGTTTTGTGCTCGCTTGAAGAGAATTCTTCCCTCAACAAACTACTCCAAGTCAAGCCAATAAAGTGAGATCATGTCAAATGCATTGAATTCTGATTAAATATTTATGTCATTGGAAGCTGCAGAGCGAGAATTCGGAGACGAGAGAGAGAGAAATTTGGACTGTGGAAATGAATTGACATTCTTTTCTTAGCTCAATTGCGCTTGAGCAAATAGGGCGATAAATTTCCTTACAAATACAGCACAATTTCCATTGAAGTCGTGACTGATGGTCGGGAGGGTCTTCACGCATTAAGATCAATGAGTGTGGCAAGAGTCTCATTAGGCAGGCAAGCAGTCGCTTTGTTGCGATTTCTATTTAATAAATTGATTTATTATTATTCACAATATTGCCACTTGGACGCTCATGAGCTGCTCATTCACATGATGATCGCTTTTTTTCGTTCAATAAAAATCTCTCATGCACACAATTGATCCATAAAGATCTCACTCGCGATGATCTGTCCCTCATAAGATCTCTCTCCTGTCCAGAGCCCATCCATCATTCCATGTGTCGCTCAGTCGATCGAGATTGTGAAGGTTAAATTCGTACACTCAATTGCTTCCTCCTCCGCAAATGGAGTTTAATGGACAGAGTAATTAATGTGCGAAGTTAATCATCAAATCAATTTTGAATTACATTTCTTCGTGAGAGAGTCTCTTCTAAATGCCTTTTGATATAAACTGAGATGTTGTGGAGAGAAAAAATACTATATGGTGACCTTTTGCATTCACACTGCGTGAAGGCTTTCTGGACAAAGTTGGAGAATATATAGATTTTGTGTGTGAGTGGAAAGAAGGAGAGAGAAAGATGAAACATTTCGTGTAATTAATTGAACATGACATGCCCTTCTGTGCACCTCATCTTCGGCATCTCCAAGACTCGCGCCCTCGATGGTTCTCTGCTTGATGTCGGATGCCCGAAGCTGCTGGGCTATTTGGATATAATGAATACACATTTGTTACTATTATATTTAGACATCAGGCAAATACGAGATTCTCTCCTTTTCTCCACACTTGTTAACTCTGCGTGCATCTTCTTGTTGGCAATTGATTAAAATTGTAGCTCAGCAGTTGCAATTCTATAAAATATTCATTTTTCTTGCACATTTCATCGGTATGAATTGTGGCCAAGAGCCTCTAGTGCGGGTGGCCCTATTCTATGTTCGTCAGATCCATCACGTAACCTCTTCAAAGTTTCCCTCCTTGCATCGAAAGTCTTCCATCCATTGGGTTGTACAGATATGAGAGAGGCTCAAGTGAAACAAATAATTGTTATAAAACGTACGGTATATGAAGTGATTGTTGGAGGGAAATTTATGAATAAGTCATAAACGGAATGGTGATTAGTTAATTCACATTCAGCTGTGGTCTTGTGTGTGTTGGCTGGCGGAGTGAAAAGGTTTTGGAGTGAAACGTTTGGATAATTTTAATTTGGACTCTCTTCAAATGCAACGTTGGGTAAAAGCTGCGAGAATTTGTTTACTGGTGGGCGGATTTATTAGAATTTACCTGTGCGCCTCGTCAACGTGCAAATGAAGTTCTCTCATGTGCGTATTCTCTAGGCGTAGTTGAAATTGACTTTAATTGCGTGCAATGATTCATCCTGGCGAAGAGTTTTGCCAGCAGAAAGCTTAGGATCAGTAGGAGGATTAATGAGGATAGTCTAAATTCCCTTTTATCTCATGGGCGTTCCCGAGGACTCTCCCTCCGAGCCATTTGTTGTGCCTTCACCACACTATAAACACTAATATCGCAGATAAAATGCTGATCATAAATCACATGGAGTTTGCAATGAGTTCAGCAATTGTTGGCCAAAGGGAAGGTGAATGCGAAGAAGAATAGGAGAAGTCTTGTGCCTACCGCCGATTTAACCATTCTTCGTGATCCTCTTTGCGCCGCCTTGTTGCCTCTTTGATATGTGACCAACAGACAGATGGACACGGAACATCAGTAGGAACATAAATAAAGTGTCGTCAGCGCTTATGCTGCCACTCGGAACTTAGGAGACATTCTATCAAAGCCGTGGAAATGACGAAGGCGACAAAGATACAAAATGTGCCTCAGCGCAAAGAGAAGTGTGTGGGATGTGACGCAATCTTGTGGATTTTACGCCGCGCACTCAACAATGATACGGACATTTGTAGCAATTGCCGCGGAGACGAATTTATACTCAATATCTCAATTAGGGAGTCTCAAAAAGGTCGCACCGTGAGTGTGTTGTGTGAAGAAAAAAAAGGCACAAACAGCTGCGCGGAGTGAATTTCCAATCATTTTTTCCATTTCGTGCAACAATCAGTTAAAGAAAACGGAAAGAATAAAGAATGAAATTTCTACTATTTCCTGTCCAATTTACCATTGACACTGGCGGAGTGCAATGCTACTGATTCCAAGTGTGCGATCGTATCAGCGAATCACAGTCATTTGATGATACCGTGCAAATTGCAATACAATAAACACTGGCTGTGGCAATAATAGGCACAAGTGATTGATTCTGGTGGCCTGAGAGACTGGTACTTATTTCTCCACTTTCCACTGTCCAGACAAACCGTTCACAATGTTTCTGAGGCTGGAAGTTCGCAACGTGGAAGTGCAAATTGATTTGAAATAGAGACAGAGTCTGGAAAGTGTGAAGAATTTCAATTGATTTATGCTGCGAGAGAGCGCAAAACCAAATTGTTCTCAAAGAGAGAGAGAAAGACCTTTTTCTAACATTTTGTATGCATAATGCCGTAGAAAATGCCGAGCAGCTGCAAAGTGGTGAGGAGAGAAAAAAAGAATAGAAATTGAATCATTCAATTTGCATTTTATGTAATTTGATTTTCTCATCTAACACTTTTTTCCACCGCATGTGGATTTCATATTTTGAATGTGTTTAAAGAGAGCGGCAAGCGCCTCTTTGACCTGCTGATGATGTGGGTGGAATTGGCATTAAAGTGACCGAGAGAGGAGGTGAATAAGAAGTCGCGGGCAAAGGCAAAGAAATAGGAGACGCCAGTGCGAGACGACAAATAAAATAGAATCGTGAGTGAATATTTTATTGATGTGCAAAATTGCCTCCCACTTGGCAAACATTGCAAAGCGGAATTGGCGGTCTTGCGCGGATGGAAAATGAATAGAGGACGTCAAGGGAATGGGCAAGTGTTGAGATGGCGGGAAATGCCGGGAGGAAAATGCCCGCAGGAGCTGTAGATTCCATATCAAAGAGATCGTTTATCATTTAGTCACTGGCGATGGCTTACATGTGTACCATGAGTGTCGCCCAGTGCATGTCTATTGTGCATTTATCTCGACTTGTGTCGTCCATCGTGCATTCAATGAGCTCAAAATAAAGCACGGCGATCGGCGGATGGGAAAAAGGCAGGCGCGCACAAGATGGCAAAATTAATAAATAAAATTGCAGCGGAAACCATATTTAGACTTATCAGCTCTCGGGGATCATCTTAGCACTACAGCTCGTTACTCCGAGTCAGCTGTTGCTGCTTAGTCATGTTGTGGGTGAAGTTCTGGTCAGAATTTCCCATCATTCATGAGTCAATATTGTGGTGGAGATTCTCTTGTTGATCTTAAGCTCAGCGCGATCAGTCATCAAGATCAAAATTCCAGTACGTCAGACGCCGTGAGCGGCATTCCAGTGAGTCTGGATGGAATTTTCAAAATTGCATTTTCAATTATTCCTCCCAATCATATACTTATAATTTCCCTGCGATTTGTGAAATCACTTGACTTTATATCTCTGCCATTCAATACCGCGCACAATTTTGATCATTTTGATGATGATGATGGGATGTGAGAAAGTGACGTCAAGGCGTTCTGCAAATTGCTCATGAGTGATGCAACGCCAGCGGTGTGACATACAGCATTGCCATGAAATCTGATTAATTCACCTGACTCTCGTGGTATTCAAGAAATTACTCGCAACCACATTAACCGAAATATTTCATAAAAATTCTTCTCATTGCAATTCTATGCTTTACGTGGAAGTTTATAAATAGTTTGCCATTTCAGCCGTATGTCGCTGACTTTTCCATCACACCAGCAAATAATATCGCGCGCCTTGTCCCGATATATGACTCAATCCGCCAACTCTCAAGTGGATCAATTTGTGTGTGGCTTTCCTGGGGATTGTGGGCTGGGATAAATACAAGAAGATGAGAGGGAAAAAATGTGGCTGTGAGTGTGCAAATCACGTCTCTCGATCAGCAACGAAAACGGGAAGAATTCGCTCAAAAAAGCACCTCCAGAGTTCAATGATATTTGCTCCTTGGCGACATTCTCTGCGAAGAGACTTCCACACAAAATGTGCGATAAATAACATCGAGCGGCTTTAATGGTGCGACAACTTCACCCACCAATTTGCCGATGAGTCTCTTGTGCGCGCGAGGAGGGAATTTTCAGCTGGTCAGCCGGAGAAGATCTAGATACTCGTTCTGACGAAATGTGTGCGCCAAACGTGGGCCTGGCATGACTAATGACGGAGCGAGTTCGTTGACAAGACGTACGGCACGTCTAATTCATTTGGCATTCAATCACGATGGACACATAATTGGCTCTTTACATAATTCCACCACTGCCCGGGCCATTCATCAGGTGGTGCTCCTGCGCTGGGGATGCGCGCCACGCACTTTGCCGGACAACCGTGAATGCGATGGGAAATAGTGTCGAGATGAGGTTGAAAGATGGCGAAAATTTTTTCATCATATATGCATAATTTATTATCTAGTCATGTGTTTTCTTGCGCAAGTCAGTTGGAGAGCAAAAAGCGTCACCATTTGACTCGCACAGGTAACAAATAGCCCAGAGTGATGGTTTCGCGGTTTAATTTTAATCTCATCTCCTCTGTGGACTTTTTCAATAAATTACAAATAATTTCCACAGTAAATGGTGTATTCATCATTTCGCCTGGCTAATGATCTCTGATGTTTCTCTCTTTTTTGCAGTCTCGGTCCTGTAGACACATTTCCACGTGAGATGGTGTCAAGGCGCAAAATCTTGTCCCGTTCAAGGGACGATCTCAACCTCGATCACGCATATCAGCAGCAGGAGGACGAGGAGGATGTGTGGTATCAGAAGGAGAAACTCTACAAGGTGAGTTGAGCTGGCAATTGCATTAACGGGGCTCTTTGTAAATGACTCCTTGGCGTGCCGAGACCATCATCATCAAGTCAATCGGAAGAGAACGAGAGTTGAACTGGTAGAACTTGCTGGGCAACGGCAAAAAGAGCTCCGCTTGCCTTTCTGTTGCGCAGAAATTGCCACAAGGTGCACAATAAATGACTGCGCTGGTGTGGCTAATAAATAATAATAGCGCAAGAGAGACTTGAAGATAGAGAAAACTAGGTAACTGAACCATTAAACTCTACCCAGGCGACCCTCATACCTGTTCTCCTCTCTCGTGCCCGAGTGAATCCGCAGTGAATCTCGTTCGCGTGTCTTCTGCTCTCATATCGCGATACAAGACAGATTAGTCGCTATATTTTCTCAAATGGCGGACTTTTTCACCCACTCGAATCGATTGAGGGATTTTTTCTTCTGTTTATTTCGTCAATCACGATTTCTTCCTCACTTTGCACACCATTAGATGTGATTTTGACTGAATCTCTTGTATGGTAATTTCACTCGAGCAATTACTGTCAAATTACAGTGTTCAATTAATCGATTGACTTATAAGGAGTCCCTCTCTCTCTCTCTCTCGCTGAAATCTCCTGCTGATCTTTTTGTTTGCCATCAGAGTAAGAGGTGAAATTCAACCTCAAGTGGGAGGGAGAAGGGGAAGAGCAGCATGCCTCTCGATTTCGATAAACAATCTCCCAAGTAATCTCTCAATTGCCTCGCAATTCAAATTCAAAGGCATTCTTCTGGCCACAGAGAGTACAATTGAAGTGAAACTTCCGCTAGAAAGGAGGCCAATCGGCGCACAGATTGAGATTCACTTTGGATTCGATGATATTTCGCGATAAGTGGCCAATTCAATTACTTTTCTATTAGTTGGGCATCGCAATTGCGTAACTCTGCGTCCCGAGGCATGAAGAACTCATCGCGCGCAGAAGTGTCTCTCTGGCGCTCGCAATTTGAGAAGAAAGATATCACGATGGCTTTCTGATACGGATAAACGGCCAGCGAGATTCAATATCAACATCGCGAGAAACGTGGCTGTGCAGTTTGCCAGGCAAACACCAAATCACGATGTGTGTTCTGCCAAAGATGATGATGGTGAGATGCTAATTCGATGGTAGCATTTCATTGTTCTTCTGCACTTGCCATTTTATTGTGACCCGCACAATAGACGCTGCAATTGTTGGGGGAGCGAAAGAGAGGGAATTTTGAAATGTTACAAAACATCTCCTTTATTTTTTGAAGAGTAACGATCTCAATACTTTTGCGTGCAAGCCAATTGCGTCACCCCATCGTATGTATACCATCGGCGCCCAGACATAATACGCGCGAGATTTGCGCTGGGCTGGCTTTGGGAAGGGGTCGCAAAGTGCAGCGTAATTTCAGGCCAAATGGGTGGGGGATAAAATTATAAAATTGCGGAAGTAGGTCACACCAGAGTTTTAAGAGAACCCAAACCCGTCAATTAATCACGTTCCGCCTCAAAGTGTCGTTTATGCAATTTTCCATAAAACAAGGTGCGCGCGCGAGCGCGTTGTATTTAAATTCACATAGCGCCGCGCATTCATTCCGTAAGATGTCGAAGAATTTCGGTCTATTGAGTGTCTAATCGATGATGGTTGCACACGCAACAAAAGGAACATCTTCAACGTTTGATTCCCATCATAAATACCAAATCTAAGAGGTGATTTCATGACTATCTCACCGATCAAATCGGAGATTGGAAATTGAACTCTTTCCAAACAGTTTCTCATTATCTAATAATTGGCCTAATAAAGCAATTTTTATACTGAGCTCTGATTTCTTGATGATGTTATGTGGTCATCGCGAGAGCGGAAGGATTAATTCTAATGCTTGTTGAGCAATCGACATGCAAGAGTGGCGCAAATTCGCCTGACACTTGCAGCACTTCCATTTCAGACTGTTTTCACTCTAATTATTCACTGGAAACTGTTTTTTGTGTATTCTTCCGATCATAACCTCAAAATTCCACTAAAAGACTCAGTTTGGAAGCTTTCTGTATCACAAAATCATCTCTTTTGATTTTCTAATGAACTCAAAATAGCTGATTAGGAGTTTAAGATTTTCTAAATGAGCATTTTTCAAGTTCCAAATAAATATTTTTGAGGTTATGTTCGATTTCAACACAATTTGCACTGTTTCTTGGCATCACAGGCTTAGAAAAACAATGTTTATTGCATGAAAGTGCTTAATCCAGTCAATGACTAGCAATCTTTCCGACTTTAGCTTAAGAATCGTTGCGCTAGAGTGCAAATTGAAGCGCACCATAACCTGGAAAAGGATTATTATGATAGTTTCTGTGTAAAAATCAAAAGGAACCTGAAGAATCGGAATATTTTCTCAGCAAAAGAAGCACTTAAGTAAGGTGAATTGTAAGTTTCTGAAGATTTCCACTTCTTAACTACTTCCGCTGAGCTGTACACCACTTCTGACTGCATCATCTCTCCCTTGGCGCAAGGAAATTGACTGAGAGATCCTCAAGAATCAAGTCTGTCCTCAACTCTGCGAACTCTATAAATGTCTTATTACTCATTCCCACTTGTGAATTCCAATGCAAATCACTGATTACCGAATGTGTGGCTGAAGACAGCGAAGAGAGACAATTTTTTCACATCATGTCCAATGTTGTTTGTGGAATAAAGTAGCTTCGAATGCGGCTGATGGTCTTTGACCAAGGCGGGAGGTTTTTCCTGTTTGCATGGCAGGAAGATGGCCCATGAATACCAATAGTTTGCTGGTCTGCGACAATGATGGGCGACGGACAGCGAGAGGGCGAAGAACAGTTGGCAGAAAGAAGCACAGTGAGCGGCACATCGAGTCCAAATTATTATTACAAATTCTCGCGCACGGAATTATGATATTGTCTAACGGATTCGCGAGCCACCCCGCAATTTTTCGCACTCTGCGCGATATGCAATTATGGCATTTGAAGTGCCGCCCACTTGGGTCATATATCAACAATTTATTTGACACTCTGATTGCGGCTGACTGCTTCGGCAATTGCATAATTATGGGTCTTCGATATGACATTATATAATCGCGCCGAGGAAGACTTTCGGTGTTGGATGGCGCAGAGTTCGAGTTCATGACATTTGCACGTGAGCAACAGTTGTTAAGACTCCGGACGAGTGATGAGCCATTGCAAATTTTCCACGCACGCCAGGAAGCCGAAGAGTGGAAAAGATTAAAGATCGCGTATCTGTAACACGGTTGCATGAGCCGCGCTCAGACATTTTCGTAGGGGGAAATTGCTTATGGATATATGATGGTCAAGAAGCTCAATCACGTAGCGCGTTTTTTGCTTCACGCACACGTGAAAGTGACACCGCGGATCATCGTTAAATTCTCATCATTGGCGGCACATTTAAAAATTATGTAAATTGTGTTATTTGTTTTGCAACTGTGTGCACATCGGCCACTGTGAGTGGTCATCAATGGTAGACAAATACACAATTTCGGCCACTTCTTGCCGTACGGCAATAAATCTCAATTTCTCACGTACGGACGCTTCTTCGATTTTTACAGGCGCATCTGAAAAAGTTTCTCTCACTCTTTCGCAATGCGTCTCTCGTTTGAAGATTTAGGATTTTGACATTATCTCTGCGCCAGCATCACGGCTGATGATGTTTGCGCCGTGTGGCTAATTCTGAGTAATTAGATCTCTGCAATGCGCAGTGATTTAATTATGGTCTCACCATTCGAAAAAGAGAAGAAGTTTAATTTACACTTGGCAAGTTCGGAAATTGCGACACGCCATGGCGGAATATTTGGACTACATTGAGCAATGATGGAGCAGCTTTTTTCCTCATCCCCACAAGACAAGTGCAAGTGGATTAGTGTCCAATTAAGGTGGAGACGCGAGAGAGAGAGAGAGAGAGAGAGCGTGAAGGAGTTTTCGGTTCCAGTGGAATCTAATTGAATAATGGTGGTTCAAGAGATTTGTATAAATTTTCAACACAGACCGCAGAATAATCTCGCGATTTTCTGCACGCGGCCTGAAATCGCGATCGATTGTGCAGAGAGCAAAAATGAAAGTTGTTTTCGTTTCGCGCTCGCCATGGTGAAGAAAAATGAGGCAGATAGTGGTAGAATGTATGGGACATGCTATAAATAAAAGATATAACAGGCATACAACATGCGCGCGGGAAACGCGCGAGAGATTTTTGCAAGAGTGCGACAGGAACTGTATCGAATTGAGAGGCTGAAATTTGGTGTATAACAGCCACTTAATGAGTTGAGGAACTCAGCATATAATTGATTAATGAATGCATGAGGTAATTTCCGCGTCAAGGTGAGGAGATGGGAGGAAAGGCAGGTGAATTGGGAGCATAATTTGAGAGAATGGCAAGGCGGAGGCGTCCATTGATGCTCCCATTGCACATGTCACGAAGACAACAGTGTCATCGGCATGGGAGAGAGAGAGCCTCCCAGGGTCGCCGGAGTCTATTTGAGGCGATGAAATGTCAAGATCCAAGACATGCCACAGACACAAAAGTATCCAAATGTGAAACGAATCAAGAATAGGTGACGAAATCCCCAGCTAATGGGGGACATCAATTTGGGTAAAATCATTCTCTTCTATTTACTAAACGGAACTGACCGTGAAACTGATGGGAAAATGATTTTTTTCCTCGCCATCACGCAACGGTGTGTCGTACAAAAGGTGTTGGCTGGGGCAAAAACGCATAGAGTTGCGGAGGAAAGACTCCAATGCCTCGCCAAAGTGACGAACCCGAAAAAATTTTCCCATATATACTGTCATTTTGCCATTGCGAAATGACACACAATTGGCGCGCATAGAACACCAAAAGGAGGGAAAAAAGTGTGGCAAATATGTGAGAGAATTCTTGTCGTTCTACCTCAATTGCACCACAATTTACCAATATTTGTACTGGTAATAACATACATCTGGCGAGCTCCCAATTCAAGGTGTGGTCCAAAGCGCGCGCGCT